TTGCATTATAATTATATGAAGTAGCCAAGCCTGCGATGCTAGTCATGGCTTCTGTGGCTTTATAAAAAGATGTAAGGGAAGAGGTAAAACACATGCTCTAAGATATAGTCTGCTTATTTGTCATACCAGGGATTTGAGGAATGGTAGACCTACTCTCCAGGTACAATAAAGGGCTTTGGTGATAACCCTCTCTTTCTGGCCTACATATCTTTCAAACAGCCCCAGAGAGAGGCTGACCAAGAATGCAGTCAGATGTCCATTTCATTCCTGGAAATATTCTCCTGGGATGTCTCTCAAGAGACTAATTAACTCAAGTGAGTGTTAACTGAGCCCACATTCAGTTCGGACAGTCAAATTCACATTTTTCCTTACTTTGTCATGGTGCTCTTTTGTGTGTGTTAAGTGGCCCACTTTCTCAGTGGCTTATCTAACTCTTGTTTAATGTGAAAATCTCAAAAGAAATGGATCTTCTCTTTAAAATCACCGTTTCTAGTAAAAATTGCAAATCCCAGCTTGGTTCCCGCAGTAAGAAGTCTCCCTGTTGGCCAGCTTGCCGTTCACTTTGATAAATTAAGAGCTCCCAAATGGAAAGGCCAGACAGCCACTGATTGCTGAAATCCTCCTTTGTGGAAACTCCCTCTCATCCCCCTCCCAACCTCAGTGGCACTGCATCAGAAAAATAGTGCAACTTTTGCCGAAACGAAAAATCTCCCAGCACTTTAAGGCCTGCCCAGGTGTCAGGTTAGCTGGACTGCTGGGTACTGCTCTCACCAGCCTGCCAGGCAGAGCATAATTCACAGTGACAAACTCTTGTCCTCTCTTCCATGCTGGGAAGCTTCTCATTTTTTGTGACTGGAAACATAATCTCCAGGAAAAGCCACAAAAACATTGCTATCTAATTCAGTTATGTACTTGGTCATCACGCCGGTTTGAACAGAGGAGGTTGAAAGAAGAGATGTCATTTTTTGTGCATGGCTTCCAGCTGTCCACTGAAACTAGCCTGGATAACTTTTTTTTGAGGTGCTTGCATAATGCAAAGAGTGAGATGAAATACTGTGGAATGACCCTCTTAGGTAACAGAGCCAACAGCGGACAAGGAAATAGGAAAGCTTTCCCTCTCCCGTCCCGATAGCTATTATCTGGATACAGAACTTCTTTGCCAAAAGGTTCGTGTCTCTTTTATTCACCTTGTTCAGCTTGAAAGGAATCGTCCATTTGTTGTCTGTACTTGCATACCACAAAGGTAAAATAATCTGCTTCAATTAAAGATTTGCCTTTTCGCTCTGCCTTGGTTTAATTTGCTAAGGCTTGGTAGCAAGGTGATAGATGCCTTGGATGTTTCTAAGAGACCTGAGGAGGTGAACTGGAAATAGTGAGAGCACTCTTTGGGTGTGTAACAGCTCAGCCTATTAAAATGCCATGGGGCGAACTCATGCAGTTTTTCCGATCCAGATTTAGAGCGGTTTGACTCTTGCCTGCAATGGTTTGCAAAACATCTCACTCTGGGGAGAGGAACTGAGCCTGGAAAATATTGTTAGCAGATGGAGATGATGTTCGTTGTGGCCTGGGTGCCGATCAAGACTAGTCTTCCTCTCAAGAAGAGATGACAGCAGTTACGAAGCTAATTAACTTTTTGGGTAGGAGAAAGCCTAGATGAATTTGAACTGCGGGTGTGAATCTTTCTCTAAAACGGCTTATGAAGATGCACAGCGACCTTGAAACGTGTCTTGCTAAAAAGACCAACTTCTTCCATCCTTGAGGTTGAATGTTAATGCTTACCTGTGTAAGAACCTAAATATGTAGCATAATGTTTCATTAAGTACCAATATGTTTTAAGTACCTTGGCTTCTGCGTTGGAGCCCTTTCCAGGTGTTGGTGAACCTTTTCACTAGAAAGACATGCCTGGCTCTGAAGAG